TCCTGCCTATTCTGAGTCTTCTCATTCTCATTCACTTTCACTCCCTGTACCCCCCTGCATCTTAGTGGCATTGTCACCTTGCTTGGGATGAAACAATTAAAATATATATATATATATAAAAATACAAAAATCATACTAGGTAAACAATATAAAGGGGATATATTTGTGGAATAATTTGCTGATTGCACTTTGAATTAGTGAAACACTCACCAAAAAATAATTATGGATGGATAGAAAGCATAATTGTCGGGTCTGAGAAAAACATCATTTGAATCAACTGGTCCAAAATTGAAACAAGCTATTTATTTCATTATTCATTATTTATTTATAATGGAGGTAAGGTGGTGTATTGAATAGCAGCTCAGATTGAGAAATTAGAGGGCCAAGTTTGAATTCCAGTCAAGTTTGTTGCATTTACTTATGTGTAAATACACTTGGGAAAGATACGAATGCATCACTTCTCCCCCCTCCACCATGGGTAAATAGCAGCACAGACACAGCCTTGGTTGGCAACTGGACTAGGAGATAGACAACTCTGAATTCAAAACCTATTATTGGCTAAATAGCCTCACCAACCCACAACTGGCCAAGTGTTGTGAGTATGGCTACATCCCTGAAGATATGGTCAGTCATGGAGACTAAGAAGGCTCTGGTTCTGTTCTAATGAGCTTTCATCCCTGGTACCTTTTTTTATTTATTTATTCATCATTGTTACAAGAGATAATCGTATCTCTCCATAAAAAATTAATTCTTAAATTTATGCTTTCTATCCATCCATAATTATATTTCGGTGATCATTTCACAAACTTAAAATGAACTTCAATATTTTGTGACTCAAACCAAAAAAATGTAAAATGTCAATTTAAATTTTTTAAGCACGATTTTATCAAAATGCGCACAAAGTTATTTATGAACAGAAACCTATGTACATTATCTCAAGAAATGATTTAGAAATACTGTTTTATGGTCTAAAACATACCCAAGCATTGATTGCAGGAGTGATCACCTCCAAGTCATATGCAAACTGAAGATAAAACAAAAAATTAAAGATGCCAAAAGCATTGTTTAAACTGCAATGCAACAAACTCCACATTAATTCCATTTGCAAACATATACAATTGTTGTTAAGAACAAACACAAAACTTTGGAACAGGTCAGGAACTCTAAGTAGAACACCTTAAGGAAAGAACTATTGAAAACAAAGGAAGTCAACCTGAAGAAAGAAAAACAAAGAAAGAAATGGATAACAGGTGAAATTCTCAATCTAATAAAAGAGAGAGACACTTGATAATGATGTGAAAAACTGTAAGCAAGCAAAACAGGAAGGGATCAATGAAAAATATGCAGAGATAAAAAAAAAAACAACAGAACCCAGATATAGCAGGTATGTAAAAAGATATAATGGAAATATAATCACTGAAAGTGCAGAAAACTGAAAGAACAAGTTATCATCATGGAAAAAGAAAAGATAATACAGAGATGAACAAAATAAAAAGAAAAAAAGCAACAGAACCAGAGTAATAAATTCTTTAAAGTCTTAGATGAGTTGGGAATTGCTAAGGTTACTAAAGTGATTAATAAAATATACAACAATGGTGAAATACTGGAAGACATCAGCTGCAAAATCTTCATTATGCTGTCAATAAAGCGTGGTGAAAATGAATGCAAAATCTAACATGATAAGCTCCATAACAAATTATAATTCTAATTAATAGGATTTTTAATAGAATTAAAGAAAAAATAGATAAAAAACAATGTGTCTTTTTTCAAGACACTAGAACAAGAAAGGTAATTCTCCCAGAATATTGAGTGAGTAATACAAATGCAGAAACTTAGAAATACTAATTTTCTGCCCACTAACATTATCTTTAGTCCAACATTCCTCCACTTTGATTCTGTCATTTTCTGTCTACTAATTTTACTGTTCTGCAAACATTTCTCCATTTAGGTTCTGTCATTTTCTGTCCATTCACTTTACTGCTATTCCATAAATGTGTGGGCATGTCAACATATAAGTAAATATATGTGTGATTGAACATGTGTCTGTAGTCATCTGAATATAAAAATCAATGTCTCTCTCTCTCTCTCTCTATATATATATATATATATATGGATGTGCTTACTTGTGTGTATTTGTATGAGTATGGGTATGTATATATGTATATGGGTGTGTTGTGTATATGTATGGATATGTGTGTGTTTACATACAAACACATAGCTGATCACAAGCCTGCACTGTGGCCTTCATGATTTTTTTTTTATCTATCAGATGAGGATATCTTGCAACTGTAATAACAAAATAGTATTTCTGACAATGACATTAGGTTTATGTGGTGGGTAGGATGTGTCAGTGAAAGGTGAAGATGGTTTTAGCAATGGTGACCATGATTATGTTGTATCTTGTCAAATTTGACAGGTACCAAGTGACAGGAGTGGGAAGGGACAGTTCTGACATGTAAAGAAAAAGGAACATAAAACCCTGCTGATGTTTGGGGGGGGGAGATGGAAGATTTAGGTGAGTAGAAGAATACTTAACATCAATGGTTGACGGTGGCTTTAAATGAATTAAATCCTATAAAGAAGTCGACCTTTCATCAAATCCTAAAGACTGGCAATGTAGAACCGCAAATGAAGAGGTTTATCAAAAACACTTATAACAGCAACAAGAACAATACAAATGGAGAGCTCATGTAACTAGCAGAAAACCTAATTACATTATATAATCAAGCTGTTATGCTCTCTTTATACATACCAGGTCTCTTCAGGACATTTGCGATCATGGCTCTCCACAATTTCCTGTCCCTTGTAGCTCTTAATAACCTTTGTCTTTTTCCCATCTCTCCCACACTCTTCTCCACTATCTATACACTCAAACTCGACAGGTTGGTTGTGCATTGTTTTCCACCATATCTTTTTACCTTCAATCTTGACTATCAAATTTACCTTCAATCTTGACCATCAAATTTTCCAAGCTTTATTTCCTCATTATGCGTCACTGACATATATCTTCCTGATGTTAAGTAAAAGCCTCTTTTTTGTTGCTTTGTCTCTAGAATTTTGTTGTTGCTCCCATGTTCAGCCCATGGTATTCTCTGTATCCTTCTGTAGAACAACATTTCTGTTGCTTCAAGTTTCTTCTTCATCTCTGAGGAGATTGTCCAGCATTCACTGCCATGGAGAAGGACTGATACTGCATAAGAGTTCAGTAATCTTTTGTTTCTAACAATTTTTTTTCTGTATCTTATACTTTGCTCAGCTTTTGAAAGGCATCTTTCACTAGCTTTCAGATTTCCATGCTGCACTTTCCACACTACGAAAACCAACAATTTAAAAAGGATATTCCATCAATATTAGAAAGAGCTATAACATATAGTGGATCTTAGAAATTTGATTTCCTGAAAATAAAATTTCAACCAATAATAATGCTAGCTGTACACTGAATGTTTCCTGTATGCAAATGGTGAATTTTACGATTAACAAACAAATTTATTTCAGCCTGTTCTGTTGTGTCATTTCTATTTTTGTTTTAAATCTCTTGGTCCAGCCACATGACTAAATACTGCTTGAGGCCCACCTGGCTTGTGAACAGTTCAACAATGACATATATTGCTTCTCATTTGATTCTCTTACCTTCTAACTTTTTCTCTTATCCTTTAACCCTTCCCCTTCACTGCTCTCTCTTCTTCACTGTCATTTTTCCCTCTTTCTCTCTCTCTCTCTCTCTGAATTACTTTGCTAAACATCACTTGTACAAAAACAATATATGGTTGTCAGCAAAAGAAAATGCCCTACAATTTTTTTTACCACTTATCTATATCTCCTCCCTTTTACTGGGCACCCATTTTTGTAACTTTTTACTCTTTTTATTCTCCCTCACTCTCACCAACCTCCATTTATTCCTTTGTGTCTCTGACACCTTTTTACTTTCTCTTTTGTTGTTTCCTTATTCTTGTTTCTCTCTGTCTCTCTCTCTATTTCTCCCACTCTCTTTCTAATCTCCTTTTACTTCTCTCTATCTCCTTCTTTGGCTCTCTTCTTTTGTCTCATTTTTTCTGTCTTCTTTATTCTTCCTCTCTCTCTAACATCACTTTACTACTCTGTATCTCCTACATCTTACTGCACTCCATCTTTTCTTTTGTTCTCCACTCTTACTATACCTCCTCTCCCTCTCTCTATACAGCTTTTACTTTTTCTTTCTTTGATATCTTCTTATTTTTCCTCTCCCTCTCTCTATATACAACTTTCACATTGTTATGGGATCATACCCATAATAATAATAATGGACTATTCCATACGTAATAAATACTGCGCCTCAGTCAGTACAAGTCGAGTCAAGAGTCAAGTCAGAGGCAGTCCGAAACAGAGTCGCATTCAGACAATTACTGCAAAACATTGGAATAGTGATTCTGGTCGAGACTACATTGTTCTCTCTACAAAACCTGATTGTTCATACTAACACTTCTACTTCTCTGTATATATTCCTGTTTGTAATATATCTGTTTTATTCCATACCTGTCTTTGAGTTCTTCTTTATTGGTTCTACCTTGGACTATCACCGTGGTACAAGGAACCGGACCATAACAAGTCATACCAGACATAACACACATTTTTCTTTCTTTTTGATCTCTTCTTATTTTTCCTCTCCCTCTCTCTATATACAGCTTTCACTTTTTTCTTTCTTTTTGATCTCTTTTTATTCTCATTCTCCCCCTCTCTATATACAGCTTTCACTTTTTTCCTTCTTTTTGATCTCTTTTTATTCTCATTCTCCCTCTCTCTATATACAGCTTTCACTTTTTTCTTTCTTTTTGATCTCTTTTTATTCTCATTCTCCCTCTCTCTATATACAGCTTTCACTTTTTTCTTTCTTTTTGATCTCTTTTTATTCTCATTCTCCCCCTCTCTATATACAGCTTTCACTTTTTTTTCTTTTTTTGATCTCTTTTTTTCTCATTCTCCCCTCTCTATATACAGCTTTCACTTTTTTCCTTCTTTTTTGATCTCTTTTATTCTCATTCTCCCCCTCTCTATATACAGCTTTCACTTTTTTCTTTCTTTTTGATCTCTTTTTATTCTCATTCTCCCCCTCTCTATATACAGCTTTCACTTTTTTCTTTCTTTTCGATCGCTTCTTATTCTTCCTCTCCCTCTCTCTATACGGCTTTTACTTTTTATTTCTTTTTGATCTATTCTTATTCTTCCTTTCTCTTCCTCCCTCCAACTTCCTTTTACTTCTCTATATCTCCCCCTTTTACTTTCCCTTTTTTCTTTAATTTTGCACTCTTCTTATTATTCTTCTCTATCTCTCCCTCCAATTTCCCCTTTCTTCTCTATATCTCCCTCTTTTACTACTTTGCCTTTTTTTCTTTCTTTTTGCTCTCTTTTTATTACCCCCCTCACTCTCTGTTACTCTCCAACTTCCTTTTAATTCTTTATATCCCCACTTTTACTACTTTTTCTTTATTTTTATCTTCTTCTTTATCCACCCTTCTTCAATCCCACCTTTCTTCTCTATATTTCCTCCTTTGTACTGTTCTCCCTTTACTTTATCACTTTCTTTTTCTTTCTTTCTTTCTTTCTTTCTTTCTTTTCCCTCATCTCTATCTTTTTCTCTTTGAAGCTGTTATCACGTGTAGACACACACACACACATTATCTCCTCCAGTTATACTGAAGACAATTACAAAGATTTATTTGCTTTAACTACTACTGGTGACGTTTGATCTTTTTTGTCACTGTAATCTTGTAAGAGTACATTCCATTTAAAAAATTGTACATATAAATGCAATATAATAATGGGATGGTTCTAAGAGAATTTCCAAAGTTTAATAAAATATCTATGTATATAGGGTGTATCAAAAATACTTTCACAAACTTTGAAGGCAGGTTTCTTACATCAAAATGAGGACAAAGATCCATATAAACATATGTCTGAAAATCTTTTGTTTTTGAGGTATTAAGTCGTCAGGTCAGGTCTTCCTCAATACATAGTTTGTGGTGTCATGAATCCCATCTCAGCAGCACAATGATAAGTAGCAGCAAAGGTTCGATGACTCGCCTGTCTTCGGTCTGTAAACGCATTCTGATATAACAAGTCCATTGCCTTTTGTGCAGCCATATGTAAAAATCATATCTGCCTGCTCCCAATATGAATATCCTGACATTGTTAAATGAGACACTTCTCAGTTCATTCACTACTACACATGTTAAACATTGAAGGCAGACTAACCACAAATGTACAGAAATGATAAATGTAACCTAGTCTACAATATGGCAACACAAAGCCATTTATTGTAAACTTTATTTAAACTCAAAAATAAAGGATTTGCAGACATATGGTTATATTGTCTTTGTTTTGGTGTGAGGATCCTGCCCTCAAAATTTGTAAAATTTTTGATACACCTTGTGTGTATATATATATTGTAATTTTTGATACACCTTGTGTGTATATATATATATATATATATATATATATATATATATATATATATATATATATATATATATATATATATATATACACACATATATGTATATATATATATATATAAACACATATATATATATATATATATATATATATATATATATATATATATATATATATATATATATATACTATGAACTTACAGCCTGTATATATATTACCTATGAACTTAGTCAAAAAAATAAACTTCCATTCTTAGATGTTCTCATAGAATATAGTAAAAACTTTTATCAACTCATTATATAAAAAAAAACACCATCAGAAACGCTTGCCACCTTAACTTTAAAAGGGAATGCCCACTCAGATACAAAATACCAGTGATAAAAAAACTTCCTAAAAAGAGCACACCAGAATTCCTCCTCTCAATTACTCTTTCTTAAAGAACTCAATAATGGAAAACAGACACTAGTTAACAATGGCTTCCCTAGCCACCTTATAAACAACTAAATTAGACTTTTTCTCCCTAAAGTAAACAACAATGATAGTGAACACACAGTAAAAAATAACAAATATTTTCTACAAAACCAAATACACATCAACTACAAACAAGATGAATCTTCACTTAAAAATATCATAAAGAAATAAACTACCCCAATTGACCCGGACAAAAAAAATCAAATTAATTATCTAATACAAAAATTTAAAACAGCTAACCTTATCCTCAAAAATGACAACACACCAGAAATATCAAAATTACAATGAATGAACATTATCTATGAGTTCAAATGCCCCTTAAGAAACTGTGTTCTTGATTAAACTGAACTCATAAATAATTACATCAGTCACACGACTACATGCCTATCAAGACACCTTACGTAACAACTATCTGACCACAGCTCTATTAAAATCCATTTAAACACACACACAAAATTGCCAGACTCTATCTGAAACATACTAGTAGAATATGCAAGCATAATAACCACATCCTCATGCAAAAAAGATTAAAATTAATGGAAGCCTTAATAATAAAAAATAAAAAGCCAACACTTAATAATATTAACTACAAACACAGCCACGATGTACTAACTGTGTTCGAAATAAAAAGATCCCTATAACTCTAAAAACATACACACAAACCATACACCCAATTAAAAAACAAAAATAAAATCATCCTTGATAATGGCTAAAAGTATAGCCAAAAGCACTCAGAATTATAGAGCATTTGGACAATTTCTACACACTCTGTGCCCAGAAAAGAAAACACTTGTTCAAACACAAGAAAAATCAAATAAAAAGCTTAATCATTGTACCTTATCTGTTGTCTTTAATGAAACATGTATAAATGAAAGATTGCTGCCTAAATACACTATATATATATATATATATATATATATATATATATATATATATATATACACACACACACACTTGTATATATATATATATATATATATATATATATATATATATATATATATATATATATAATAACTTGAAAGAGGCTGTCTGACAAGCACAAAGACCGAGTAAAATTAATGATAAAAAAAACAAATAAAAACTACAGATAAAGTTCATTTTCTTCAGAAACAGTCATTTACTCCTGTAGTTTACTGCTACTAATGAGCAGAGATTTTTTTCTCCTGATGATGACTATGCTGACCGAAACTAGTCGAGGAACTTAATTGAAATAATAAAACAAAAAATTATTAATATACAACCCAGCATATTGAAAATTTTAATTTTTAATATTTTTTATTGTTCAAAACACGTTTTATATATGAAATTTTCTAAGGTAATGGATTTTTATCACTTTAAAGATTATTTTTAGTGGATACTCATATTTGAGTAGATGTTTCATTTTTTTTTTTTAATTAAACACTATATTTATTTTTGTCTACTGGACTAAATATTCAAGAAATCATATTGAAGAAAAATACATGCTCTCTGGTAATATTCAAACCTGCATCCCTTTGGGCAGAAGAATTTAAAGAAAGAAAGATTTTGCTTAAAGACACATTTCAGAGTTTACTTAATTGACAAGGCTGCTCCTGGCCAAATTGATTAAGACATGTCAGATCAAACGACTGCCTAATATTTTACTTATATTTTATATTGGCTCTGTTTTGTATATTTTTTTAAATATTTTACATAGAATACTGTCTTTATAGTGTTCCTGTATTGCATTTATTATATATACATACATATATATATATATATATATATATATATATATATATATATATATATATATATATATGAGAGAGAGAGAAAGAGTGGCCATAAAAATTATATATATATAGATTAAATAAATGTTTCAGTTCAAAATTCCCTGAAGTTTACACAGACACTTGAAGAAGGGTGAAGAGCACAACAGTCAAAATCTTATAGCAATGTGTTCATCTTGTCTGGTTTTCGCATGTCCGCATGTTGAGAGCACTCTGCCCCAACTGAGAAAAAATTGGTATCATATAGCTCTCCCAGTCCCAGACACGTGCTGACTATTGGCTAATACCTGCCCAGTTTCGTTCAAATAGAAATAGTCAGCATCACCTACTGTAAGTAGAAGGTCTTCTCTCAACAGCCCATTGTGGAAGGGGACACAACTCCTGGTGCTTACAGCACGACATGCAATTAAAGCAACTTGGAGTCTTTTATCGGGCTGACCTAATTCTCTGTTACACTCCCCCACTGATCTACTGATGACAGTACCAACATGCAAGGGGCAGGTTTTTTCCTCTGTTGGGGAGGTATTTCATCTTCATTGTTGTCCTTGTGTGAGGGAGGTACTTCATCCATCTCCACCACGGCAAGAGGAGCTTCAAAAATCTGGGAATCTACTTCCAACAGAACATCCCTTGTGGATGAATCATCAGCGTTGCTTGTGGCAGAGCGTTGGTCCCATGCAGGTCGGAAGTCTTTAACATGATGTGGCACACCATTAATCAGGTCATATTTTGGACTGAGGATCCCAGTGACCTTCTCGGTTATAAATTTGGAGGTACATCAGTTGTGCGGTGGTCTCATCCACACCATGTCTCCAACATTATATGTTTCGTGCACTGTCAATGGTGTCAGTCCAGGTACAGTATCAATGTCCTTGAGCCTAACCTCATGCATATGAATAGCGTTAGTTGGTGCAGGTGTGCTCAACATGTCACCCTTAAGCATTCCATTATATCAGTAAACAGCTTCTTGTACAGAGCACTGCTTCCATGCTGCAGTCTGTTTTATGGTCATATGGCACCTTTCTATTATCCTGTTTCCGGATGCACATATGCACACCAAAAGTTCAGCTGGTCATCATATTCTTCCATGAAAGCCTTGAATAACCTGCTGGGGAATTTGGTATCGTTATTCGTAAGGATTTTGCATGATGGACATCTCTCAGAAAATATTGACTTCAACTGCCAAATAACACTCTCAGAATCTTGTCATGCTAGAGGTTGCCTAAAAGAGAACCGTGCTGGTCCACAGTCAATCAAGGTTAAGGAAATGACTGCGGACATAATGTGTAATATCCATCCTCAGCCTGGACCACGTAATGCAAACTAGTCTTCCATTCTGCCAGCAAACC